ATGCCAACCAATTTGAAGAAGTTTTTTCTTGAATTTTTCAATGTTATAGGGTATATGTTAATGATAATGTCTCTATAGTAAAAATGACTTTCAGTTGATTTGCTTAATAATGTCTTGCTATAATTACAAATGAAAAGTGAAGACTCAATGCCGTCTTAGCGTTAACACTTTTGGATGTTGCATATTTGAAAATGCTGCTATTCTCTATGCTTAATCGACGGCATTGAGTCAGGAATCCGGAGAGAAGCTCATGTAAACGCTAACTATTCTTTATTCATATTGAAGGTTAAACTCTATTCAAAGCATATAGGAAAATCACCTGAGGAGATTGAAGCAGACATTATGCGTCCGAAGTATACTTCAGTCCAAGTGAAGCTGTTGAAAATGGTATTATTGATAAGGTGTTTCTCCAATCAAAAGGATTTTTTTATTTTCTATATCTGGCTTTCAGGTGTCACGTAAAATTACATTATTCTCATAATTTTCTGCAGGTTCTTTACAATGAGAGGGGCCATGAAGATAGAGGAGTTGTTGCTGACCTGAAAAAAGCACAACTTATTTAATTGTATCTAAATCTGGGACATGAATGTATGGAATACCCAGGTAAAATCATGATTGCTTGTTTGTCATTGTCTTGTGAATTATTTTATGTTTAATTGCTTTCATTTTCATATATAAAGATAGGAGGATTCTACAATACACACCCCTTATCATATGAACCCTTTGTTACACAATTTTCTTCTTTAGTTATGACATTATTTTGAGATGTTTGGTTATGTTTCATGTAGTGTTTGGTTATAACCTTTTTTTATTTTATTTTTTTATTTTAGTTATGATTTAGAAAGTATGGAGTTATGTCATTTTCTTCTTTAGTTATATGGTGCATATAGTACACCCTTCTAGGGGTGTGTACCATAGTCTTTTCCATAAAGAAATAAATTTGTTCCAAAATCATGCCAATGTTACAAGTGCAGTTTATTACTTTAGCCCAGGCCAGACCATATTATTTGGGAGAAGGGTTTTTCTTTACCATCTTGTGTCGTTTGTGTGTGTGTGTGTGTGTGTTTTTCCTTTCTTCCCCACTCCTTTTCTGGGTGTGTTTGGGTTTGAGGGAGGGACTCGACTTGTTTTTGGTTTTTGGTCTTGGTCAGATGGAAGCGTTTTGTTTGTTAATTAATTGTGAAGGATATAGCTGATGAGTTCTTTGCACAATGGAACCGAATCTTGTGTGTTTAGTAGTCTTTTTTCTGTGATCTCTCACAGGTCTCAATCATTTTCCTTTTTCCCATTTAGCAATCACCATTGCACCTGTTACCACTCTCTTGATTGATCCAGTTAGCTAAAAACATGTTCTGACTTCTGTGTAGATGGGCATCCAAGAAGGTACATTAGCAACTCCCTGCGGCGAGGGGTTCTTTTGCGAGTGTTCTAACATTGTAGTTGCCTAATATCCTTGATGTATGTTATGGGTTTTTCTATTTTTTTTTTTGTTTTAGTCGCATGGGTGTCCTCATTGTAGGGTATATCTTTGTTTTATTTTCATATATGATGATGAAGACAACAATGTCAAAAAACCGAATACAAGAAGAGCTCAAGCCCCCCTTTAACATGAGCATTCCATTTCCAAAGCTATTTAAAAAAAAAAAAATTATATATGTATAGATATATATCTGAAAATCTTGGTTTTCAAAGCATGCAAGCATAAAAACTAGAAGAATTGTTTGTCAGAGCAAAATACTATAAAAGAATCGTTTGATTGCCTCATCGAAACTCATAAGAAGTTGATCAGAGTTGGTGGGAGCTTATCGGTGGGTGGTGGGAAGGGCAAAAAGAGTAAAATAACATAAGAAGGTGACCAGAGTTGGTGGGAGCTTATCGGTGGGTGGTGGGAAGGGCAAAAAGAGTAAAATAACATAAGAAGGTGACCAGAGTTGGTGGGAGCTTATCGGTGGGTGGTGGGAAGGGCAAAAAGAGTAAAATAACATAAGAAGGTGACCAGAGTTGGTGGGAGCTTATCGGTGGGTGGTGGGAAGGGCAAAAAGAGTAAAATAACATAAGAAGGTGACCAGAGTTGGTGGGAGCTTATCGGTGGGTGGTGGGAAGGGCAAAAAGAGTAAAATAACATAAGAAGGTGACCAGAGTTGGTGGGAGCTTATCGGTGGGTGGTGGGAAGGGCAAAAAGAGTAAAATAACATAAGAAGGTGACCAGAGTTGGTGGGAGCTTATCGGTGGGTGGTGGGAAGGGCAAAAAGAGTAAAATAACATAAGAAGGTGACCAGAGTTCTAATATATATATATATATTGTTGATTTTTATTAACAAAAATAGACAAATAGTCTATATTGAAAACAAATCAAAAGTTCAAAATTTAAATTGATAAAATTTAAAAATGAGAATTTAATTTATTAAACTCTAAGAATATTTTTTATTTTTGTTTTTGTTTTTGTAATTTCTCTAAACATTTTTCTCATATTCTGGATTTTGGTATAATAAAAAATGAAAGTCAACAAAATTGTAGTTAATGAAAAAAAAATTATTTGTGGTTTTAAAGTTTTTGAAGGCTGTATATCCCATGTTAACAAAATTGTAAGGGTGTGTTTGTTTAAATGAATTGAATAAGATGGAATGTACTGGACTGTTAGTCTTGGGATACATTGTCTTCGGATTATTTGGTTGGATTGTATTTGTATCATATGCTTGTATTAGATGTTTAGAAATAACTATTTTATTGAATTTATGTTTGATTGGATGAACTGGATAAATGTTCAAAAAATTATTTTACCCTTATAATTTATAATATATAATTTTAAATTTGTAATCTATAATTTTTAATTTAACAACACTAAATTTTTTTAATTTATAAGGCCGTAATTTTTAATTTATTATTTTTTATTTAAATTAAATTTTTAATTTATATTTTTTTATTTAATATATAATTTTAAATTTTAGAAGTTTAATTTATAAATGTTCAAAAGATTAGGAAAAAATGTAATAATAACACTAAAAAAATTTAATTTTTAAGGCCATAATTTTTAATTAAATTTAATTTATAATTTATAAATATTTAAAAGACTGTTTTATCCATTTCCAATTTTTATTAAGTAATAACATGAAGGTAAAATGAACATTTTACACATTAATCTCTTGGGATACCAATTTTTTGGAAATAATGACACCCTCTCCCTAAGATTATTTAGTCCCTCATATGATGGTATGGAGTCCAGCGGGATTTCATATTTGGCGGACTAAAATTGCACCAAACGATGAACATCCCTTTTCAATAGATTCAAATCTAAACAATGCTTAGTCTCCCCTTAATTCCTTGAATCAAACAGCCCCTCGGAGTGCTTTTGCCCCTAATAATAATGTTATCTAGACTTGGAAATTGAGGGGACTCTAGTGCTTACTTGTTTTGACTGCCTTCATAGGATTTACATGGCCTTGACGCACGCCTTGGTGCGTTTTCAACCAAACACGACTTCAGGTAGGTTAATCCCCCCCTTTGATTAATATTAGCCCATTGTTTTTTTGGTTTTAACCCAAAAACATTCAACTTAAAATGTTTGATTAAAGATATGGATTTGAATACTACCTTCCCGCATGATTAGATTAAAATTTCATTTGTGTTGATAGACACCAATATGAATAAAAGAGAAATATCCTTACAGATTTGGTTGGTATAAAGTTAATCATTCGTTACATAGAACCTGGACATCAAAGGCCGCCAAAAAGAAAATAAGAAAGCCAAAAATTTCAAGAGCAATGCTAGGTATCATGAAAAAACTTTCATGAAAATGATCATGAAAGATTTATGACCCTTGGATTACACTTAAAATAAACACCACACACTAATCAAGGTAATCCAAGGGTCATAAATTTTTCATGACCAGTTTCATGAAATTTTTTCATGATCCCTATCTTTTCTCAAATTTCAATGTTATAAAAGGTGTCCACTTCCAACACTATTTCCACAACATATATTAATCTGCAAACTCCTAATGGGGGCCTATAAAGATGATTAAGTAGGTAGAACCACATTATGATGAGGGGTCCTAACGTAATTATGTCAAAATTATAAAATTTAATGTATTTTTTTTTTTTTTTTTAAAGCTGAAAGGAGGTGAGTGTAATTTATCCATAAACAAACTAGTACACCATGGGTATGTTTGATTGACAAGATTAGAGAATGTGATTGAGATTATTAATCCGTGACCCCAATAATCCTGTGTTCGTTTTGAAATTTTATTTCAAGATTATTAATCCAATGAATAATTAATCCAACAAATTTGTAGGATTATTAGTAATGTGATAGGGGTGGAATTATATATCTTGAGCTGGGAAGTAAAATAAAAAGGCTTTTTTACCCTTGACTAAAAATTAAAACACTTATTATTTTTATATAATTTTATATTTTAGAAGCTTAAAAATAATTTTTAAAAATTTAAAAATATTTTTTGATATTTATTTTATCAAATTAATTTATATTTTTTAAAAAAATTAAAAAACAAACCAAACATGACCTTTGTATTTTGTATTTTTATTTTGATTATTTATTTATTTATTTATATTTATTTTTTCAAAACCACGTTTATGAAGAAATTTTGATAAAATAAAGATTGTGAAGAAATATTAATAAAGGGTAAGATTGAAAAAGAAGATAAATATAGTTATTATCCTACATTCATATGTTTTCTTATCCAATGCAAATCAAACAATGGATAAGGAGATAATTTATCTTATTAATCTAATTAGATAGTAAATATCACACTAATTTAATAAAATTATTAATATATTTACTATCAGTCTTGAATCAAACATGACCATAAGTACAACCACGAAAGCAGACTACTTGAATCACATGTCCTATATCCAAAAAATGCAAAAAGTGAAATAAAATGTTAGGCAAGGCTCACTTGCCACACTGCTTATTGTCAATGTACAAAATATAAGCAAGTGTATATGAAAATCTTAATGGGTCAATAAAGGTGTCTATGTTAATATATCTCTAATCTAGTGCCCTAACCCCTAATTGGACTGCCTAGTGGAAGAAATAGTTGCCAATTCTCTTACCCTGCCCTCATGATATCAACTATAAATATGGGATTTCATTTGTGAATTTCCCATCTGAAAATCTTCTCCTCCTTCATTATCTTCAGAAACTAACCTCTCTTAGATTGTTAACTTGTCTAAAGAAATGGGTTTTGCACCTAAAAGCTATTGCTCTCTTCTTTATGTCCTGGTGCTTTTGCCAGCACTTTGTTACTCCCAGGACACTTTTGTGTCCTCTAGAGCAACCTATTATGGCAGCCCTGATTGCTTGGGGACTCCAAGTATGTACACACCCAAGCCTCTCTCTCTCTCTCTCTCTCAATATATGTGTGTGTGTGGGGTTTACATGTATTGATTTGTGTACATTTCTACATTAATAATCTAGCTACAATGATTAACACCGATTTAATGTGGTTAAAAATTAGCTGGAGCTTGCGGGTTTGGTGACTATGGAAGAACCGTCAACGATGGTTCTGTGAGTGGAGTCTCTAGGCTGTACAGGAATGGAACTGGCTGTGGTGGATGCTATCAGGTAATTCAACTTCAAAGCTACTCAAAAAAGCACTGACCCTTCTTGAGGATATCGAAAGAATCTGAATAATGATATTTGAAATAGAATGAATAAATATTGGTATTCAGTCTTGGACTATGATAAAAAGCAACCATCTTTTTTTGAACAGTAAAAAGCAACAATTAGAAGCTCTACTTTTTGAGCTTGCAAGAAATTGGCATCCAGATACAAGCCCTTCTTTGTTAAGCATTGAAGAAGTGCAAAATAATGAAAATGTTAACACTAATAAAAAAGTGGTTCCTTTGCTTGTGTCAATAATGATGGTTATTTCCTATTTGTTTTTACTAATATGATAGGTTAGGTGCAAGATACCACAAATTTGCACCGAAGATGGAGCGAGGGTGGTGGTGACAGACTACGGTGAAGGGGACAAGACAGACTTCATTCTAAGCACCCGTGCCTATGCAAGGCTGGCTCGTCCCAATGTAGCCTCGGAGTTGTTTGCTTATGGTGTGGTTGACATAGAATACCGGAGAATTTCTTGCCAATACCCAGGTTACAACCTCATGGTCAAGGTCCATGAGAACAGCAGGTTTCCTGATTACCTAGCCATTATCATCTTGTACCAAGCTGGCCAAAATGACATCACTGCGGTTGAAGTGTGGCAGGTACAGTCCACTGGACTATTTGAGTGAACTGGGTATTATCAAGTAAAAAGGGTGGGTTGGGCCACCAGTAAAGACTTTCCGTTAGCGTTCTTGTGGTGGGCCTAGGGCCTATGCATATCATTTTTAACAATATATGTTTCCTTCTTTGGTGCAGGTGGATTGTCAGCAATGGAGGGGCTTGAGAAATGCCTATGGTGCAGTGTGGGACATGTCTAGCCCACCAACAGGTGCACTTAACTTCAGAGTCCAAGTGACCGGCAGGTCAGGGCTGAAGTGGGTGCAGCTGAGTAACGTACTTCCTAGTGAATGGAAGGCTGGGGCCGCTTATGAAACAACAATTCAGCTTACTTGAGCCCTATAAAATCCCAATCCCAATCCCTATTGCTACATATATATCTAAATATATGTTGAGTAGGAGATGCTAAGTAATTATTATCTAGGAGTTTAATCCCCTTAGGGTATGTTTGATTGGAAGGATTAAAGCATAGGATTGGGATTATTAATCCGTGGGCCCAATCATCCTATGTTTGTTTTGACATTTTGGTTTAGGATTATTAATCCAATGGATAATTAATCCAACAAATTTGTAGGATTATTAGTAATGGGGTAGGGGTGGGATAACTAATACGACACTAATTTAATAGGATTATTAATACCTCACTATTAGTGTTGTGAATCAAACATGGCCTTAGGGCCTTGTTTTTCGTTTTCTTTGCATCATCTTAATGCTTTTCTGATAATATTTGCTTATTTATCACCCAAAAAAAAAAAAAAAAATTATATAGGAGTTTAATAAAGTCATCAAAGTTATGTTTGAGTTAGAGCTAGTGCTCTTTACCATTTTCAATAAAGAAGTGTATTTGTGTACTATGAATGACATATTTTTCCTTTCCCTTATGGTTGGATAGACACAAAAAGGGCAAAATGATATTGCAGCACTTGAGCAAACAGTAATATACATGAATATGCATGCGTCTGTGTGTGTATGCACAGAACTCACTGAATCTTGATCTTAGAACAATATTTACAGTGATTGTAACAATCTCAGAAGAAAAAGAAAGACTGCATGTTTGGACACACAAAGCTTCACTTAATTTTTAAAAAGAATAGTACTGGCCAAGATAATAAACATTAACTTGTTTTCAAAGCAAAAAATGCACCACCAGTGAGTACTACACAGCAATGATATTATTTGTGTTGACACAAAATATATGTGCCACAAAAGAAACATAAAAGATTGCAATCTGAAACCTTCACAAACAACCAGTCACATATTTCGTAACTTATTTGTCACCAGATTCATATGTACAAATTCCAAAAAATGCTAAATCAAAAAACTACAGGGAAAGGCACAGAAGATTACATTTTTTTTCTTCCTTGGGACAAGAACAGTACCATATGAAGGTTACCAAGTTTAACATTTTCGGATTTCTTCTCTGGAATCACTAATTCAGTAACAAACATACAAATAATTCAGTAAACAACATACACAGCAGATAATTCATTTCATGGTAGGTGTAGTGATCTGACCTACAGAGGATGGGAGTAACCACAGTGTGCCAAGACACTCCATATCTAACCATAAAATGTGTTGTCCAACAAACAAATTGAGAAAAACATTGTCAAAACTGATATTGGAGATCCCAGCACCTCGAAATATGATCCAAACCTTTCCATCATTCTCCTTGTCTGCTTTCATCAAAATCAAGCTTTGCATCTGAACAAGAATCATAAGCAAATTCTCAAAATTAAGGGATGAGATGTGAAGTATTTACATACATGAATCAGATCACGAATGTGGAAACAAATGTCAGATTTCACTATTACTTTAAACATGAAAAGAAATGTGATTCGTGAGAGCTGCCTGTTCATCCAAAGAGAGATGAACTTCTATATCTATGATCACAAACAAATATCCACCAGACAACTTGATTTTGGGCAATTCTCATATTGATAATTACGTATGAATTCTGGCATCATCTCCAAAATCTGGACCCTCGATGCTTTGAAATTTGGTTAGCCCAGATGCACTACACCATTTGGCTCATGCAGCACTTGAGCGAAGTGGTGCAACTCAATAGTTTAACCTAGTGAATCTAAAAAAAAAACTTTGAATGAAGTGGTACAACCCAGCTCGTTATGTACAAACAGACACATGGAGATACTGCAGAAAGTATATATTAAAATCTGTTAATATCCTATAATCGTCGTTTATACATGTTTGCATATTGTCAAAAAGCTTAGAAATGTGTTCATGTGTGTTTCTTTTCATGAAAATGATATTTGCCCGTATATGTGCGTTCATATCTATGTGTTTCTGCTGAGACAGCCCAAGAGTACATGCTGAAATAGATTCATTAGGACCTATCACAGAGTAAATAATAAATCTAAGTTCCATAACACAGAGATTCATTAGGACCTATCACAGAGTAAATAATAAATCTAAGTTCCATAACACAGACAAAAAGGAAAGTGGTCAAACATAACTTACATTAAGAGAAAAGGAATCCCTACCCGAGAACCCAAATTTTTCTGTCGGCGTCAATACATTCTGCCAGTGCACTCCTCAGAACCACAATAGCAGTTCTTCTTCTTAATATTATCATTCGAATCACAAATCTCATCCACTGAATAATTATAGTGGTAAGTCAGCTCCTGTAAGGGTGGAATATTCTCTGCAGCAAAGAACATTATGCGGGGCATTTTCTTGTCCTCGTGATCATAGAGGACATTCTGAGCATAAAGATTAGGGGAATAGCTGTGGTTAACAAACCTGCCCACATTTGCACATTCTGCTGCATCAATGGTGAAACCATCCTCCACAACCTCATTAGGAGTTGATTGTGCATCAAGCTTGAGAGTAGAAAGATCATCCATGACAGAACAATCGCAGTAATTTTGTCCAATGTCAAACACATACTCATCATTGTGTCTTTTTCAGCTTCCGCGTCCTCGAGAAGCTCCCCAATATACTCACATATAAAACTTCCTGAAGGAATAGAAGTTAGGGATCTAACACCAACCCCTTGACTCTGTTTTGAAGATTTCAAGCTGAATTTTGATGCCATGCTGGCTGACTCTATTGTAGCATGAAGGAGGGCACTTGCAAGAAGGACCACACTCATAGACCAGAGTCTTTGATTCTACGATACCACCATTGTAGTTGTATGGTATCTCTCCTCCATTCTTGAGTACGCATGAGGATTTCTAAGAGTCCAAGCATCCACCAATACAATCACAACCCTGAGGAGGAATAGGGGAGAAGCAATCAGGATATTTCATCTGAGTCATGTAATTGAATGTGGGTGGGTTCTCATTGTCCATGGTGTTCACAGCACAAATGGGAAATAACTCTTTCCCCCTCCTGATATGTCATCAACACAACGACCCTCCCGTATTTTATATTTGTTTGATTTCTTCACTTCTTTCCAAGCAAGCTCTGGTTGGCCAAGAATTCTCGTTAACTCAAACTTAAAAACAAGCTTACCATGTGGCCCTACATCATGCCAGTACCTCTTCACTGTATACAAGCCATCATAAATGTATGTTGTCAGAACTATCTTGGCTCTTGTTTCCGAGTTAAGCTTTTGTCTCTTTAGATCCACGGATTACCCGAACAAGATTATTCACCGTAATACTATTTTTCAGAGCCAAGTCCCCTCTTTCAAGTTTTTGGTCCTCGTGTTGTTTATCCCGACCTACTGCAGTTCCTCCCTGACCAGAGTATATTAAAACATCCGGGTTGTCCAAATCATTTGCATAACCCCCCCTGAGGCAACAATACTTGTCGAGATGATCATTTCACCATGATTTATGTAATCAATACCAGCTTGATAAAGGCGATGAATGCCAACAAGAGCAAGCTCCACCCTATATTGAAACTCGTCACCAACTTCAACTCCAGGCACTGATCCTATTATATTTTTGCCTGTGTTTGCTTCTTTTCCCTTAGCTCTGACAATCTGTGATGCCAGCAGATCAATCCTTTTGCTTGGGCATCCTTGTTGCCTTGGCTTTGCCTCTTCTCCTTGCAACAGCTTTCTACAAATGGCTTGGAAGAGACGTAATGTCTCTCTCACTTTGACACGTGCATTACCATGACTCGAACTATTGGGACCAAAAGGAGGCAAAGCCACCTCAAAATTTTGGGGTCTCGGAGCCACAAGAGAGTCTTCATCTTGCTCTTGTATAGAAAAATCTCCCTCATCCTTGACAACCAGTTGACCTTTACTTTCATATGCATCGTTTCTATATGGATGTAATTTCTTCTTCTTCATAGATTTTCCTCCTGAATAATCCACTTCATATTTCTTTGTCCTGCTGACAGATTTAGATTTCTTTCGCCCTGTGATGTAGCTGATGTCATGCCTCATCACCTCACTTCCAGTCCTCACAATGTCCTGGCTAGTGTTGACAATTCCTTTTACCTGCCTCCATGGACAGTTTGGTGCAGCCATCAGGCCTTGCACAATCACCCTGTCTGCACCATGTCCCAAAGCAACAGCATCATCTGGACGGCTACTCTTAGAACCCTTATCATGAATGTAAACCACAATCTCCTTCCCCACTTCCCCTTTCACACCATTAACATCCTCATAATCCTTTTTGATTACTTTTTGGGACTTGGTCTTTGGTTCAGGCACACTTCCTTCCAGCTTCCTTTTCTTAGTATTTCCATCTGGGACATCCCTATCCAATTCTTCAACAACAGCCCCTGTTGTCTCTCTCACTTGACTGCCTTCCATATCAGCCCCTGGTGTCTCTACCAATGGCCCGCCTTGCACAGAAACTTTTCGGGACTTGATCTTTAGTTCAGGCACATTTTCTTTCAACTCCCTCTTTCGGGAATTTCCAACGTGAACAGCCCCACGCAGTTCTTCAACACAAGTAAAGTCCAGAAACTTGCGCGGTTAGGTGCCGATCCTACCGGTTAGTACGGGTAAAATGGCTTTGGTAGTGCTTGTATAGCCTACTTGCAGACACGTACCTAGAGATTCTTAGTGTGTCGTATCCACTATCCTGCTTTCTGTATAAAAGGATTATTTTCATGAATTGATATATAATCTGGCATTGCATTATTTTGAGATAGAAAACGAGAAACGTTTGGAAAATGGCATGCATGTGCATTCACCTTATAATTTTGCTAAGATTCACATATTGTGTTAGAGTTTCTCTATTAGGTTTTGGCTCACTCTATGTGGAAAACAGCTTTCAGGTGCTGATGATATGCCTCCGCCAAGGTCATAGCTTGGGAGGACTCGAAGCTTAAGGCTTCTTTTTGGTTTCTTGATGTAATTATTTTGTTTAAGCCTCAGGCTTTGTTTATATTGAGTTTGAACTCATTTTGTTGTAACCAAGCATCGTCTTGGAAAATTATAAGCCATTAGGGAATTTCTTTATTTGATTTTAATTTCCTTTCTACTCTTGTATCGACGTCATATGCTACAAATTTAGAATTTAGGATTTATGAATATATATTGCATATGTGTAGACACCCCATTTTTGACCGACCTTAAGACTCAGACGTCACCAGTTGAGCGCTCGGTGATATTGCATATTGTGCTCGTTCAGAAGTTTCAGAGTCCCGGCTGCAAGCCTTGCCTCTGGACTTCCGGACTCTTTCGTGCCTTGCCTCGGTTTGCGAACCAAGCTCTGTACATCTCTGTTTTCTCTTCCCGAAGGGAGAGAGAGGTCTCGTAGATCATCTCTCAGTGGCCGTAGGCTACGTTTCGTGGTCGTAGGCCATTTTTCCCATTTGGAGCCCGGTTTCCGGTTTTTCGGAGTCGACGGCCGTGTGCCTCGGTTCGGGACCACCTAACCACCTCCGTTTGCTCCAGTTTTTGGTATACACCTTATTTACTCCCTTTT